AAGGTCGTTGAGATACTGTGGCCTTTAAGGTCTCCACAAGGTGATACTGGTGGTCCAGGAAGTTCTGATAATCGCATTCTTTTTAATGTAAGTTTCTGCTAGGCGTAAAAAAACGAATATTTTTAAAGTTATAAATCAAAATATTATTAAAGTGTTTTAAAGTTAGAATTCGAATAAAAAAAAAACGCAAGAATTTTCAACTTTCAAACATTTTTCAGATTCGTCATGAAATTGGAACTTTGGGGGATTCGAATGTTCATTCTTTAATAGATTTTTTTAGTTCAAAGAGGCTTTGTCCTTGAAGGACTATTGTTTTCGTTTTGCGATTTCTTTGAAAACTTTAAAAGGCTGTATCACTTTTCAAACCGTTGCCACCAAAAACTATCGCTCTGTATTATATTTAAATAATGAAGAATCTGCATAAATGTATATATGTTTTTCGCATTGTGATAAAACAACGGTACCTAGAGCCATCCAATTTTGAATGACGTAATCCTGCGAATATGGACATCTGAAAGCCCAAATTTAAAATGGAATTTGTTTTATTATCGATTTCCTATTTTGTAAAGCTTTAACAAATTTTTGATTAAACTCAAGAATTCCAAAGCGAGCAATGGCAACGTTGTACAGAAAAAACATTTTTATCCCCAGCCTGTGAGTCTCTGTATCGGAAATTCTAAACATATGCTCGTTTTAAAATTATTTTGCGACATTGCTGTTGAACTGAATTTTATGCTTTAAGTGCAAAGAACATGATATTTAATAAATAAAAGTAACACGCAAAACTTTAAAAAGACACCCCCTTTGGACGTAATTTAAAATCTGAAACCTTTCAGATTTTTAGACCAAAGCGGCTTTGACCCTGGAGGTCTATTGTTTAAATTTCTTTCTAATTTTTTCCTAATCAGTATACTCTTTTTTAACTGTTTAACTTCATAGTAATTAACCCTTATCGAAGTATTTAATAGGTGGCTTAAAAAAAATTTCAATGAGATTCTTTTTCAAGTAATCCCATTTGCTAAATCATGTACCTGAAACTGAATGTAGATTTCTCCCTTGTGGTGTTTAAAACCCTTTCACCCTAAGTTACTGCAATAAAGTTTAATTATGCACTATCATCAATTTCACATCAACAAATCGTTCAACCTTTTAAATGACGTGAGTTGTTATGTTCTTCTATCGCACGCCTCTTCTCGATAAAGTCAGAAAAAACGTATTTTAATTCCCCCATACAACGTACAGCAAACAGTGCTTATAGTACACCATTCTAATGACTCTCTTCTCATCTCTTTAACTACTATCTATTCTTTAAACACGAGGCTGCAAAAGGCGTCTCATCAAGTTGTTATAAAGCCTATTTACAGGAAGTCGTTTTGAGGTTAAATGTTTAACTCACGAACTTCATTATTTTCTTTTTTTATTTGTTACTGACTATACACAGGCCTGAATATGCTTTTTACTAACATTTTCAAATATATCTCAGAATTTGACTCCACCAGTTCTAAAAGAGCTTCAAACGTCCGACCATTTAGTCTGGAAAGGGAGATTTAAGTGTTGCGTTTACACAAAGAAATGTAGCCAGAAGGAAATTTGATTGCACTAAAATTATTTTTAAGCAACTCTTCTTTTTAAATACAATGTTCTAAAATGAGCATCATTATCATCTAAAATATATTTTCCTAATAAATAAACTCTAAAATTTTCTTCAGTTCTTAGTTATAAAAGAAAAATATATATTAATTTGAGTCTTCTAAAAAAAATTTAATTTCTCTCTTTTTCAGTCATGCTTATTGGAAGTAATTTGAAATTATAATTAATTCAAATTAATTAAGTATGTAGTTAATTTTATTCAAGTTATGTTTTATTCAAGCACTTTTTATATTAACATTCTCGTTCTTTCTTCTTCTAAATTTTAAAAAATTTGTTCCAGTACTGCTTGTATCTGATATCAAAATATCCAATATACGTTTGATTTCCCTTTAGACGCATATCCTTATACTAAGCAATATGTAGATATATGAGCCCCGATTGTCTTCGGGTTTTATGAATATTTCAGAAATAAGAATTATCTAGGAATAATAACATTCATTCTAGGCTGCATGTGAACTAGCCATGTGTCGAATAAACAGAAAAAACAAATCTTATCTTAATTCGTTAATATATTTTTAGCTATACAAATATTTGTACGACTAAAAGCGATAAACATGGCACTATAATTAACCCGTGAATACCTACATGAGTTAAATAATGTATTTAATAAATTCTGTGCAGGAAAAAAATATTTTAAATTTCCGAAAGATGATGAAATATATCGGAAAAGTGCATTATGCTTCAAATATGCGAGTCCTGGTAATAAAAAATAGAGTCGACAGAGTCGCAAAGCGAGGGAAGCTTGTACATTTTCTTTCGAGAACAGGATAAAGTAATTGCATATTGCATGCAATATGAACTAACGATGTATACATACTAAAATATTTTAATGGGCCCTAAAATAATCAGAATAATCATATATGTGAAAGATATTAATTTTCATGATCTGTTACTCTGAACTCGGAAGTGCTGGTTCATTCGCAAAATAGAAATGATAATTCATATGTAAAAAACATGCACAGAAATTATAACTCGAAATATAGAGCTACTAAACACACATCAATTTATATTTGCATTTACTAAAATTATATTAGTTTCAAACATGCATTCTTGTCTCACTTATCGCAGGAAAATTATAAAATGGGATAAATAATTTTTATTGGGTTGGATTTCAATCAATAAGTTTATTGGAAAGCTAGTGAAGCCCAACATTTTCAGATGAAGAAGCGATAAATTGCTTAACATTTGGGAACACACATAGTTGCCACAAATATTTTAATTTCTAGGTCTGAACATATAGTACGATGATGTGATAAAAGGATATTTGAAAAATTTCCATTTAGTTATATTAAGGAAAAAAAAAAAAGTAAAACATCTGAAAGCTTTCATATTATATATTACGCCCAAAGGGGCGTTTTATTAACGCTTTTTGAGTTACCTTTATTTATTAAATAGCATGTTCTTCAATTCAATTCAACAGCAATATCACGAAATATTTAAAAACGCGAAATCTGTAGAATCTCCGATAGACAAACTCGCGCGTTGGAGATAAAGATGTTATTTTCCGTATGGTATAGCCACTGCTCGTTTTGAAGTCGTTGAGGTTGTTAATCAAAAATTCGTTAAAGTTTTACAAAATATGAAATAGATAATAAAACAAAATCGAAATTCGTGCCTCCAGGTGCCCATGTTCAGGTGAAGGGTTTATGTTATTCAAAATTTGATGGTTCTAGGTACCGTTGTTTTTTCACAGTGCGAGAAACATATATACATTCATACAGACTCTTCATTATTTAATTTCTTTAAATATAATCCAGTGCTCTAATATTTAGTGGCAACAATTTGAAAAGAGAAACGCCCTTTTATAGTGGACAACGGAAAATGCCAAAACGAAATTAATAGCCCTTATGGGCAAATTGCCTCTTTAGGCTAAAAAGTGCAGCGATTAAAGGTGTTTTGTGTAACCTTTCCGTTTTGGAGTAATGTATTATTAGTGATTTAAAGGTAAAAGGTGAGGAAGGGAAATACCAAATGGTTAAAGTAGTTTTTTTAAATGAGAAAAATTGATTACAAGTTAAATTACTCTCTTAATTTCATAAACATTGAACAGCAATATGTATGTATTTTCATAGATGAATGGTTTTGTACTCACAGAATATAATTTTTAGAGAATATTTTTGACGCCTTGTAGAAATTAGAAAAATTTAAGATGTCATTTTTATCGCTGAATTTGTTCATCGTAATATTTTGATTAAAAATTAAGCTTACTGACGTCAAACAATTTTCAACATAAAACTAAGATTCACTAAGCATTTTCTCTGGAGCATTTTAGATAGGAAATCCTTCTTATATCAATTATGTTTCTTAGTGAATAAAAACTGAAATATACACGGGAAAGAATCCGTTCTTATGTAATCAACATCTTATGAGAAATAAACTTTTTTTCAGTGGGGGAAGACAGAGTTAAAACTTTCTTGAATCTATATATTTTCAAACGGCTTACAAAGCATGATTAATTATTTATTTGCTAATATGTTTTATACAGTTACAAGGAATATCAATTCTTACTCCGCCACAAACATTTTATAAATATCTTAATGCACAATATTTCTACGGTCAATAATTATGATTGGTAAACTATGAAAAGCCAAATAATTACAAATAATTGTTATTATACAAGTCAAAATAAATTTACAACTAATAAGAAGTCAACGAAAACTAACCTCCCTCCATACTTTCCTTATTCTTCCATTATTCAGAATAAATATAATAAATGACTAGATAAATAGAATATAATTTGCTCAATCCCTAAAACCTATATTTCTATCATGTTTAGAGTCTTATTCTTCTTAGATATATTTCAGTATTTTAGTTTATCAGCATATATAACCAATACCTACTTTACAAAGACTAATTAAAGCGTTTGTTCTCGTAATATATTAGAAAACATACTATCAGCATCAAGCCTATTATAGACATTTTTGTTTTTTCATTTTTATTTTGTGGATAAACGCACATGACCTTTTATTCCCCTCCTTCCAAATACCGCGAAAATAATTGAAAGAATTCTAAAATTTCAAGAATGCTATTGCAAAAAAATGTTATATAAAGTATTTATACCTTACTTTATAGGTAAAACTTAATGATATTAAAGCCTAACCTCGTTTAAAAATTTCTTATGACCAACCGTAGTCTGGGTTTCGTTTAAAATGAAATGGAAGTGTCAAAATTAATGCAAATATAAACTTCACCTGTTTTCGAAATCTAAGTTGGTGTGTATTTCTATTATCCAATTTACTGAACTTCATTTAAATATAAACAATATTTTTTAATAAACTTCAGTTAAATATTAACAGTATTATTTAATCAGTCAATATGGTTCGGACATAAATTACAAAAACAGTACTTACTTTCACTTGTCTTCTCTTTAATGGGAGGGGCTCCCCTAGCCATGATAGCAGCAATAGAAAAGTCAGTAGCAGCGGCATTTTTCCCGCCGGGCGGCACTCCGCCAGATGAGGCTTGGGTGTCCTGCATTCCCGGCGTCGGAGGCTCCGTTCCCATCAACAGCATTGGTCACGGTGTCGATGGATTTGCCTTCACTGGCAATTCAAAAATATGTTCTGAGTTGCAAATGTTTAATGTCCTGTCTCTGGCAATGTCTAAGTTGCCGCCTTTGCAGGGAAAAAACAAGCACGAATTAAACACATAATTTTTCTTGTTTGGGTCAGTAAGCGGTACTGTTTTGTTAAGCTGCGAAAGTTAATGTATTTCGAAGAGGACACACAAATGCTTCAACAAGGCTTAGTCTTTAATACTGTCACCGACGATGACTGGAAAATTAAATAAATGTTATTCTAAGGATTAAGTGATCTGCTAGCCTCCAAAGATTGAAGCGGAATGCTAAGAAGACCTCGTTACATAAAAATGTTCTCTGCTTGTCAAAACAAATTCTTTTTGCATATTTTGGTTCGAATGAGGTATCTATATCTGTCTTTCTCTGTTTAAAGAAATTATGAGACTAACATAAAATTCTACGACTTTTGCTTTGCTCTTATTATTGTTATATATTTAACACCAGGAATATAATATTTAAGCATCAGATTTCATTTATTTAATTTCTCTTTTTAAGAATTTCTAATGGAATCGAATACGTCATAGAACATTTTTATGCTTTCTCATCAAGCAATAGACTGTGAAACGTTGCAACAATATTTCAGTTTCTTAATTGCTACTTTCCAAAGCAAATTTTATCTTTCAGTTCACAGGGACATGATTTTCAATTCCCGTTATTTTTATGGCTTTCATTCAGGTGATCAAACTCTCAATATTTCAGTTTTCTTTCTTAGAACTCATTTCAGTTTTCGAATGGAAACTTTTCAAGATCTTTCGGACAGTTGCTTGACAAATTGCATTTCAGATTTAGTACTATTTTTGGTATCTTTCTAAACAAATGTTACTGATACATATTACTTCAATCGCTATTTAATTATACCTGTTACTTAAATTAGTTTTTCAGAAGCTAGTTAAAGCAGTAATAATTATCACCTTTTTAATATTTTTTAATTTAATTCATTATTAAAATTTCTTTATTTTTCTCGTAGACAATGAGAACTCTTTCTTAGATGAGAAAAATTGCTAGGTGCTCATTTACCTGAAGCAGAAGAAGATTCTTCTCTTGTCAGTCAATACAATAATTTTGCTCTCAACGCTGAAAGAAAAGTTTGACCATCACAAAGAGATTTGTCACAGAACTTTATCTTGATTGTAAACAATGCAGTGTCTCCAAGGTCAAAGTTCACACGCCGCGCGAGCAGAAAGGACGCAATGCCGCTTCACGCGTGCGAAGAGAACAACCGCCATTCGACTTCCAAAGTAGTAAACAAGCTCTGTCCACACGCGATATTGTTCGAATCAAATATGGCGGACGAAAGGGGTCATAATACCGAGGCAGAGGTCATCTCCGTGGTGTCAGCTACCCTCGTGGAGGATGTCACTTGACACCAAGAGGACATTCAAACACTTATCCACTGCACTTTTCACTTAACTACTGATACCGCGTCCGCGCTTGCGTTGTGCACTTGTCATGGACGCGGCCCTACCAGCCAATGAAGGCGGACGCATCTGAGAGGAGGTGTGGATTATATCTATACCGCCTACCTCAGTCCTGAGTGGATGGAACAGGTAGCTCCTCCTATCAGAGGCGGTACAAAAACAGCTGCTGAAGACTGTTCCAAGTCGAGAGAAATTAAGAGATATGATCGCTTAATGAATGAAGTGTAAATTAATTATGGCTCTTGATGCCGTTTTTTTTATTTGAGTGTCAGATTTTACGCTTTGTCTCGTATATTTCGCTGCCGCTTATCTTAACATTTAACGACAGGGTTTTAAGTGCCTTATCGAAGATGAGCGCCGCTTCTTTTTGCTTTTTCTTTTTTACTTCCCTTTTAAACATTGTTAATTTTGCAAAGATGAATTGGTGTGTTTAGTGAGACCAAATATTTGTGAGCAATCATCAAATTGCTTTTCCGTTTTTGCTGATGCCGGAATTCGGAGATCTTTCTAATGATTATTTTCCATTATTTCGATTTAAAAAAAAAAATGCTATTTAGGAACCTTATTGAAACCTACAAATTCACTTTTAGTTCAGATGGAAATTTCTCATTTATTTTTTTAATGCTTGTCCTGTTTAGCTTATTTTAAATTACATTTTACATACCGAAGGTGAATGAAATATTTAAAAAGTTTATTTATTTTGTTAAAGTGTAAAAAATAAATTTTCAAGGCAGTGTTTGTTCACCGGTATCTTCTTAAACATGTATTACGATTTAACAAAATGTAAGTTTTAGTTTTGTTTTCGTGGTTATAATTTTTTTTTTTTTTTTTTTTTTTTTCGCCTTAAAACGATGTTACATAACTTTCAGAACTTTTCATCTTAAATTTAGTAAAAACATTATTATCACAGCAGCAAGCAATCGAGATTTCTTATTATTTAAGGTTTTGTTTTCCAGACAATTCAAAAATTTTTTTGAAAAATAACGAGACCACAGAAATTTCTGATATAATCATCCGGCTAAAGGCTTTCGCAAGTACACTAACGTATACCAGATAGCAAGAAGGAATTATACTTGCCTACATCTTGGTGCTGAGGCGAATGCAGGATATTGCGGAAAAAAACGAGAAAAACGCTCTAAAACTTAAAAAAAGAAAAAAGATATTTTAAAGAAAGTTTAATATGATAAAATATACTACAAAGTTTTCCTTTTAATTAAATTTATTATTTTATTTTTAACTTCCGCAGATGAAACTTCGCTCATATTAACATGTAACTATAAAAACATCACGCATGTGTTCTGTTATTAGAAAGGTTAGCTGTGCTGAAAAAAATGTAGCCTCTAAATACAATAATATGCATTTTTACTATTGCTAAAGTAGTTAGCTGTATAAATAAAGGAGGTACCATAAAATAAGTATAAATGCATCGAATCAGCGAAATTCACTAACGCTAAGGAGAAGCAAAAAAATGGTGATTTCGGATTTTTGCATTTTCAAATTCTCTACACTTTCAGCTTTCTAAAAATACCATTATTTAATCTCTATGAAAATTAGAACTGTAAAAATTCTAGTTTTAATTTGTCATCGAATGCTTTGATAAATGAGGATTTTTACATAAAATCGCGTTTCTCTCCAAACGTGATTTTTTTTTTTTTTTTTTTTTAATACTCGATGTAGCTTTTCTCAGAAACTACTGCTCACAGGTATCTAAAATTTTTGTGGCTTATTTATTATGTTTCTTAATATTTATTGAAATGAGCTTTTTGTGATAAACTAAGAAAAAAAAATTAGAAAAATTTTGTGTGAAAAAAGTGCTAAATTTTACTATGCCTAACAAATATTCTGTAAATTACTCTAAAATTCAAATTGTTTCAAAAGCTCATTTCAGTATAATTACATAAGTATGCTTTAATTACACAAAAAATTTCAAGCGTGTATCTACAGCAGATTTTGAGAAAAAGTACATCAAAAATAACCAATTTAACATTGTCGGTATAGGGGTTTCCAACACCCCTTATAGTAATTATCGTAAACTCCCGTACTCTCGGGGTATAAGTGATTAGGGAGTCCAGTTAGCAACTGAGAGACTGAATGATTGGAATATTGGTGTGGGCACAACTGATTCTTCATGTTTTCTGGAAAAATCTGAAAATCTCTACAGTGGCTTCCGAACAAAAACATATCCTTACCATATGGATTTGGTCGACTGGGTCACGTGCTTCTTCCCAGCCGCTTTATAAATAGGGAAGAATTTAAGGAATTATCATATACCCTATGAGCACTCTCGTAGTCTTAATGATTAACACTTGGAATACCATGGTTCGAATCCCAGCGGTAGTTGAAAATCTTAATAATTTCTACATTACCTTATATATTGAGATATTCAGCTCTGTTTATTCGATTTCGAATTGGTAACAATTAGTATAGTTAATAACAGTTCGTATTTCGCTGTATACAGAATTTTTTTGTTGCACTTACAACCGACCTGCCACCGGCAAAAATATTCTAATTTAAACATTTCAGCACTGTGATTTGTGTTCGAATCTCCATGTTGACAGAAATACCCCTTCGTATTTCTTTGTTAATATAAAGCTTTTTTTATGCTATCCGCGATTCACATGTCGAAGGCTTTCAGGCAAATCCTTGAAATCACATAAGTTGAAAAATCAATTATAATTGACGAAAACAGTTATAGTTGTAATTTAGGCTTTTCTTACCATCGGGATAAATTTCATCTCTCAAAAGTTTATTGCACTACATTTACTTTATTAGCAACAAGTGAACAAACACTATCTTGAATTTTTCTTCAGTCAACATTTGTAACTTAGGTGAGTAATCACATCAGATCTCTTATATTATATATAAATTCTCCTTATGTGTCCAATCCCAAATTACTCTTAATTCTTCCCACGTAAATGTGCATATGCACAACATCATGTTCAATAAACATAGCTCCATTTCATTCTTACTAGCGAAAAGCGAATAAAATGCAGACAAACAAGGATCTTCAAATATTCTCCTTCTCTGTCAGGACTTAAGTTTAATTCTTAAGGAAAAGGAGTTTAGGGTAGTTCTTTTCTAAGTTTCAAGCTAAGTATGTAGCCTTGTTGTTGTGACTTATCTCACTTATTTAATAGTAACATCAGAACAAACCCACGAAATTCATCGTGGCAAGGAATGCAAGACTACTCCTGTCTTTGGCAGGTGCCTTGAACACATTACAGGTGGCAGTACGACTTTGCTCAGTTCCGTCCCCAATTTTGATGGACAGCACCCCGGGCGGACAAGGACCGAGGGTCTCCCACATCTTTTTCCCCACACCAACCTCTCGAGAGGACTTTCGGCTCGCCGCATATTTAGTGTTCCCATGTCGCACAGACACTATGCCTACTTCGGGATTCGAACCCGGCCTCTTCGTACGGCAGTCAGAGTCACTAACTATTGTCCAGGTTGGGCAGCTTAAGTAGCTTTTAATGCTCTAATATTAGCACAAGTTGAAGAATAAACAAAGCGCCTTATAAGCTATCTTTTGTATAAATAATACCTTCCTTCATATTTAAATTTTCAACAAGAATAATATCTAGATATTTTACCTGAGTCCCTTTTGATATTATTCTTTTATAAATATTTCTGTGTATTTCAAGTACTTATTTATTTACATTTTTCAGACATATGCCGGGGCTGGCTTCTTAAAGCTGTTTTTCTGTGAAAGGATGCACAAGTAAGTTTTTCCCAAACTTGATAAGTAAAAATTTGATCCAGTGTGGCTTAAATGAATTTTTAATGAACAGCAAAGTAATTTTTAAATTTGGATGGAAGATGGAAAAGATTAGCGGGTTTTTTTAGTCCAAAGGGATTTGTCCTTGAATGATTATTGTTTTCCTTTTTGCGATTTTGCGTCGATTTACTACAAACGGCGAATCACTTTTCAAACTGTTGTCACTAAATGTTAGAGCTCTGCATTATATTTGGAGAAATTAAATAATGATAAATCTGCTTAAATGTATGTACATTTATCGTATTGTGATAAAACAACGGTACATGGAGCCATCGAATGACGTAATCCTCCTACGAATATGGGCATGTGGAAGACCTAATTTGAAATTTGGAATTTGTTTCATTATCGATTTCCTATTTTGTAAAACTTCAACGAATTTTTGATTAACAAACTCAAGGATTTCAAAGTGAGCAATGTCAACGTTGTACAGAAAAAAAAAAAAAAAAAAAAAAAAAAAACATTTTTATCACCAGCGCGTAAGTCTCTGTATCGGAAATTCTAAAGATATGCTCATTTTAAAACTATTTTGCGATATTGCTCTTGAACTGAATTTTATGGTTTAAGTTAGTAGAACGGAATATTTAATAAATAAATTTAACACACAAAATGTTAAAAAAAACGCCCCTTTGTACGTAATTTAAAATCTGAAACATTTCAGATTTCCCCCCAACCGCCTTGATAAATGTTCGATGCAGTGTGGCTTTGATGCATTTTTAATAAAAAGCAAAGTAATTTTTAAATTTACTTGGCCTTGAAATGGCAACGTTCAGTTATTTAATCATCAAAAGAATAAATAAATTAATTAGGCAGTACAATAACGTTACACATGCGCATATTTTAATATGTGAGATTGACATAATTATGTAACTTGCTGTCTCATTTTTAAATTAATTTTTAAATATGCTACAAATATATTGAGGAAAATTGCATCGGAATCAGTACGTTGCGGTTTGTATGTAACTATTAAGCAGTTTTTTTGGACATTTTTTATTTTTCTCTTTTATTTTTTCTAACAGCGATGTGTAGTCTTTTTTTTTTTTTTTTTTTTCCTTTTCTCTGTATTGTATGTATATTAGAACACATACAAGAATGTATATTGTGTGAACAAGACAGATATTGAAGATATCGGGAGTGAGCGGAGTTTTTCGGCTTGAAATTTCGAAGTGAAGATTTGCGAGTAAAATGGGGTCGAAATTAAAAATTAGCTTTGTCTCTGCTAACA